TCTGTAGGATCTTCTCTAGTGGATTCTCTCAGGACACAAATTTTGTTGTTTGGAGATATGTAGTGCAACACAATCTTTGTCGGTAGATCACACCTTTTCAAAACATTTTGCCGTATGAAGGACATCAGTTTTTGTCTCAATAGTCCACCACGGAAAACTGGAACCTTTTAGTATAACTGGACTGCTTAGAAGTTGGCTTATCTGATATTTCAGCTTTTTTCTCATAGAAACTCCAGCTTTTCTTCTTGGGTTGTCTTTCCTCGCACAAAAAGGCAATTAAGATACTAATTCGTTCGTCGAAAGCAAATTCAGTCTATGTAGGGAAAATTAAGGGGGGGAATAAAATCTTCTCTAGAGGAATATCTCAGGACACAAAATTTGTTGTTTGGAGAATATGTAGCTGCATACACAATCTTTGTCGGTAGAACACAATTCAATACATTTGTCCGATGACGGACATCAGTTTTTTTCTCCAATAGTCACCACGGAAAACCTTGACCCCTTAAGTTAACAGGCTCTGCTTAAGTTGGCATATCTGATATTTCTGCATTTCTTTCCCATTTCAGAACTCGCCTTTACTCTTTCTTGGGTGTCTTTTTCATCGCACAAAAAGTATATGATACTATTCCGTTCTCGACCGCAAATTCAGTCTCTGTAGACTATTCTCTAGAGATTCTCTCAGGACACAAAATTTGTTGTTTGGTGATTATGTAGCTGCCAACTCAAGCTTTGTCGTTGTACATCATCTCCAAAAACATTTGTCCGATGACAGGACATCAGTTTTTTTTCTTCCAATTATCCACCACGGAAAAACTTGACCTTTTAGAAAACAGGACTGCTTAGAAGTTGGCTTATCTGGTATTTCCGCAATCTTCTTATCAGAAACTCCCAGCTTTCTCTTTCTTGTGTTCTTTTCATCGCACATATAATTGTCATAAGATATATAATCCGTTTCTCGACCGCAAATTCAGTGTCCTGTAAGAATCTTCTCTAGTGGAATCTCTCATAGTCACAAAATTTGTTCTTTGGAGAATATGTTGCTGTGCAACACAATCTTTGTCGGTTAGAATGTACACATTTCAAAACATTGGTTCTGATGACAGGACATTCAGTTTTTTCGCAAAATTCCACCACGGAAAACTTGACCTTTTAGAAAACAGGACTGCTTAGGAGTTGGCATATCTGTTATTTCTGCAATCTTCTTATCAGAAACTCCAGCTTTCTCTTTCTTGGGTTGTCTTTTCATCGCAAAAAGTGCTTAAGGATACTAATCCGTTCTCGACCGCAAATTCAGTTCTGTAGAATCTCTCTAGAGGAATCTATCAGGACACAAATGTGTTGTTTGGGATATTATGTAGATGGCAACTCATAATCTTTGTCGGTTGAAACACTTTTCAAAACATTTGTCCGATGACAGGACATCAGTTTTTTTTCTCCCAATAGTCCACACGGGAAAAACTTGACCTTTTAGTAATAAAGGATGCTTAGGATGTTGGCATATTGAGTATTTCTGCAATCTTCTTATCTGAAACTCCAAGCTTTCTCTTTCTTGGGTGTCTTTTCTCTTCGCACAAAAAAGTCAGAGATACTTATCCGTTCATCGGACCGCAAAATTCAGTCTCTGTAGTATCTTTTAGAGGAAATCTCTCAGGACAAAACATTTGTGTTTGGAGAATATGTAGCTGCAACACAATCTTAGTCGTATGAAAAACTTTTCAAAAAACATTTGTCGATTGACGGGACATCTGTTTTTTCTCAATAGCTCCACCACGGAAAACTTGACCTTTTAGTAAAGGGACACTGCTTGGAGTTGGGGCATATCTGATATTTTGCAATTTCTCATCAGGAAACTCCAGCTTTCTCTTTTCTGGGTGTCTTATACATCGCACAAAAAGTTATAAGATACTAATCCGTTCGCGATCCGCGCAAATTCAGTGTCTGTAGGAATCTTCTCTAGAGGAATCTCGCAGGACACAAAATTTTGTTGTTTGGAGAAAAGGTAGCTGCTCAACACAATCTTTGTCCGGTAGAAAACATTCATAAATCATTTGTCCGATGACGGACATAGTTTTTTTTCTCCATAGTCCTACCACGGAAACTTGACCTTTTAGTAAAATGGACTGCTTAGAAGTTGGCATATCCTGATATTTCTGCAATCTTCTCAGCAGAATCTCCAGCTTTCTTCTTTCTTGTGTGTCTTTTCAAGCGCACCAAAAAGTATAAGATACTATCCGTTTTCTGACGCCAAATGTCAGTCTCTGTAGATCTTCTTAGAGGAAATCTCTCAGGACACAAAATTTGTTGTTGTTTGGAGAATATGTAGCTGCAACACAATCTTTGTCGGTAGAACAACATTTCAAAACATTTGTCCGATGACAGGACATCGTTTTTTTCTCCAATAATCCACCCCGGAGAAAACTTGACCTGTTACTAAAATAACAGGATGCTTAGAAGTTGGCATAAACACAAATCTGATATTTTGCAATCTTTTTTCATTCAGAAATCCAGCTTTCTCTTTCTTGGGTGTCTTTTCTCGCACAAAAAGTCATAACGTACTTATCCGTTCTTGCCGCTAATTCAGTCTCTGGAGAATCTTCTCTAGGGAATCTCTCAGGACACAAAATTTGTTGTTTGTTGGAAGTAATATGTAGCCTGCAACCACAATCTTTGTCGGTTGAACACATTTCAAAAACATTTGTCGATGACTAGGACTCAGTTTTTTTCTCAACAATCCACACGTAAACATGACCTTTTGTAAACTGGATTTCTTTGGAAGTGGTGCTATTCTCCCTTTGTCCAGATCTTTCGCCTATTCAATCCAGGTCGTTTGGGCATGACACTGGAAACAGTTAAGAAACCATGTTTGTTTATGGTGGGGCAAACTCGTAACTTTCGGTCCTCCCTTGAGGAGGAATCTTCGAGCGAGCAACTCTTTGTCCTGGGCTCGCGTATGTTGCAGAGACAACACATTTGTCAAGGTTTGAGCAATTTCTCAGAAGGGCATATCGTTGATGGTGGAAGGAACGTCATTTTGTTTTTTCCAACAAACCCTCCAGTAAAAAACTTGATTCTTTTCAGGAGGCATCGTTGCTTCAGTTCGAGGTTGTCTGCAAATTCTGGTCGACAATCGGGTCTATGATACTACGTAGGGGTTTCTGGGCTTTTCGAATGGATAAGTAGCGGTCCTCGATCATGTCCTCTCATGAAAACCTTGTGTTGGGACGTTCTGTTCCAGTAAGATACGTACGGCCTTTTTACATTAGGAATTTCTGAAACAATAGTTCACACAATGCTCAGATGACACCACTTCGATAACAGTTTTTAGAACAGGAACTTCCGGGCTAAATCATGTCAGATAATCGCAAACCTTAACAACAGGCGGGGGTCGCTCCCTTCTTTGCCCTTCAGGCAAGCAATCAGGGTGAAATTCGTAGGAATTACCTCCAAGAGGTTTACTGTGTCTTGGCTCCGTTTGTGCCCTTCCCTTTAAGGTAACTGGTCATAGATTTGGGTTAGGTAAGTTAGGCCAAAGAAATCCTTGGCTACTTAGGGGAATGCTGTGGCACACTCCAGCTCATGAGTCAGATCACCTCCTCAACAACCTACCCGATTTATGTCTGTTTTGTATCGGCAGCTTCTTTTAAGGCCATGATTTTTTCTGTCAGCTGGGATTCTTTAACCTTTAAGTCCGTGTTGATGCTTTTAAAGTCACTGTTATTTAATCGAGTGTACTGCACCCATGTTCCTCAGCAAATGAGTGTAGTGGGGACTATGTCCAGTTTATTTTCAGGTGGCTTTGCTCCTTTTCAACAGAATAAAGTAACAGTGAACACGCCGGTACTTTAGGCAAATCTCTCCACTCTTATCGTTTGACCGTTAGAGTCGGCGCTGAAGAAAGTTTCCTGCCCACTAATACACGCGTTATGGGTACCTACTGGGAGGTTGTCCTTTTCTAGAGTTATTCCGGTTCCTTCTTTCTTGCCTCCTAATTGGACTCTTTTGGTCTGGACACCAAACACAGGATTTTCAAAGTCAACTGTTTTTTCTTGATTTGCAACAGCCCACATCAGTTCTTAATGGAGCTTGTGCTTTTCACTCTTTAGTACATTTTTTAGCGTACCGTTGTAAGTGGCGCAACAACGCAAATCTTTTGATTCTGCCACAGCAGTAGCACAATCGTCCGAAGTGTCCTTGCTTTTAGAGTCAATTGATCCCGGTGGATTAAATAGCTCCTTTGTAAACACAAAAGTGGTTCAGTAGGCTTTACAGGTTTGGTGACACTTCGGAGCGGGCTATAGTGGGCCCACCTTCATCCGACGAAGGGCATGTTAAACTTTGTCCCAATGCTGTATCATTTTCCTTTCCTCCTATATTCAGCACTTTTTCTTGAATCGCTTTGTTTTTTAATTCACTCCAAGCTGAATGACTGGCTGATTTGGGTTTTGGAACAGTAATAGTCAAAAGATTTAACTTTGTTAGCCTTAGATATACGGTCTCTCTGCTGAGAGTGGCTATCTGCCTTTAGCTGGCATACACTCCGGCTCGAGGTTACGTATGACGCACCCGCGCCCCCCTCTTTCCAAACGATCAGATTTCAACCTCGCCAAGCGGTCATGCAAGCCCAAAACGTAGAAAGACTCAATTGTTGGTGAAAACTTTCTCTGGGAAATTATGGAGTCTTCAAAATACCCGGCTGTTTTTGTTTTGACAGCCCATTGCAACTAGGCTTCAGCCGTATCCGCCTGAAATTTACATGAATTATCGATAAAAATACAATTAATGTAAAATATTGCAAAAAGATTGAGATGCTTGATTGCGTACCTTGATGGACTTAGGTCTGCTGGACAAAGCTATGAGGGGATACTGATTGTTAAACTGTAATATAAAATACGAGTTGCTCCCTGCACTCCTGCTTCACGACACTCTGATACACTCCAGACCACTCGATTCATACACTCCTCTGCGAGTAGATACACTTTGCAGTGAGATTTGTGTCGGATTTAGTTGTATCTATCTTTAATGGAGTTGATGAAGCCGTGCTCGCTGTCTATGTGTTCATCGGAGTTTGATGCTGTTGTTTCACTAGGATCGTTACCTGGCTGTAATATTGGGATGGGTGGTTGTGATGAACTTTATAGAGGACCTTTCATGTTCCTGATTTCTGTATAACTTTTTATAAAATACTAACATGAATGTTAAATTGCATGGCTGATCTTTGAATTGGTTACGTGTACGTTCAAAATAGGTATCCTGGGGACTATACCACTATACAGCACAGATAGCTAACGGCAAGGTTCTTACCGCCTCGATGCTGGGCAGGAGAAAGGGCTAGCAACCTAAACCCATCGGGGGTGTAAAACTTATTGACTTGAGAGCGTATCCAACGTAGCAGTTGCGGAATCCTAGGTTACGAACAGAAATGCTGAAGATATGCACTTGCTAGAAGGAGGAGGGACACAGACTCCTTCGGGGATCCGTCTCCTAGTATTTTGAGATCAGTGCTTGGCCATACCGAGTTTGTAGGAGAAGCAAATATGAGTACTGGATAACTTACTTGAGGTATATGTTAGTATAAGCTGCCAAGAGCTGTTAATTGTTAGTAAATGAATCTTTTGTCAATTTTTATTCCTTGACTTTATTGTTATGTAATACTAACCACCAGTCTGTAGGATTGAATAACCAGGAGTCTTAACATTAGTCGATTGTTTGTGGTACAGCTTGATTTGAAATATTCAAAAATGTATATGTTTGGCATTCTTGATACTTTGTATAATGTATATCATTTAAAGTCATTATCTATTATATGGATGCGTCATGAAAAGTCACATATGACAAACAAATCATTTTCCACGTCAAAACATAACTTTGATACTTTCTGTTATACTGGATGGGACAGATTTAGTTTGGACAGCATTTTTGTTTAGGCGCGTTACAAACATACATGCAATTTCAAAGAAATATATGCCGCAGCTGAAACGTCAACGTTAGGTCTTTGTGCAAGGATATAACATTCAAACAGGCGAACCACGCGAAGCACAAAATTTGATTAGATGTTGTTATAATTTACGTTGTTTCTATTTTAAACTATTCAAATAAAGTTTATTATTTCCTAAAAATACGCACATTCCACAGTCGATGGCGACCGATCGAAACAATTTCTTCTTGTTGACAGAGGCAGGAACATGGCGCTTTACTGTCGAATTGAACGCAGCTCTTCTTCACAGCGGTTACGTGTATGATGCATATTTCGTGAATCCCATCGGACAACTGAAATATTGGAAATATACTTTGGTTATTATCTCAGGGGTATAGTTCAATTTTCGGATTTCAATGGATAACTATCGGTTTTTAACATTATGGTTCTAAAGCCTTGAAGCTTATCGATACGATGTCAGGTCATGAGAACTTGGTGGGAACGAACAACATCAGGTTCCGCGCGCATTTCAATTCCACACATTTTCTTGGTTTTAAAACCTGATTAAATTTGATATCTTTTAAAACAGGCATGACCCAGTAAAGGATATTAATGATCACGTAACCTTACGAAAGAAACAAAAACTCTAAACCCTTCACAATTTCTTTACTACCTTACAATATAGACACATACACAGAACTTTATCGCCAGAATGAATTTTCACCTCATCATTTTCAACAGAGAGACAGCCCAGTTTGAAGAGTCCACTTCCAGCCATGCCCACACTGCAGATAGCATCCTGACACGGTCCGGAAAGTGTTGGTATGCAAGTGATGATATCAGAAGAGATGCAACACCTTCCCTCCAACATTCCATCGTCTATCGTGTGAACTACGTCCAGTTCGTACTTACTGTACAAGTTTATGTGCATTACTTGATAAACATAATAAAATGTTAAATTCGTACTTACTGATTATACTTGGGGTGAAAAGTACATAACTATTTTAAAAAGTCTAATGCATGGTGTTAAATATGATCACATTATCCCAGCTGTTTTGAGTACTTTACACTGAAAAAAAAACCAATTATGCTTTAAAAATGTTGGATTGTTAACTGAAAAGTTGTTCCACTTACACAGGACACGTGACCGCTCTTCCCCGCATGATGTACGGACAGTCTTCCGTCGGTATCAGGAACTTCTTATACGCAGCCGACTCTGACAGATTATAAAATAAACGCACTGTTCAACTGTTCAATGAACTGTTCATGTTAGGGTTGATTCGGCGAGAGGGAGTTAAAACAGGTTCCCCAAACAATGCACACCTGTTTTTAAATTATCTACATTCAGGCATGAAGTACATCTCAACATAGACATACTCCAATCATTATCTATACTTCCAAGGCATGTAAGAAACATCTTTCTAAAGTTCAAAAATAAGGCATCATTATTTTAAAACATTGTAACATTTATATTACGGATAATACAGATAAAAGTTAACAAAAAACCCACCGTCATGTTCAACATGACCACCATTATCATCAGATACTCCTAGCTCCGGTGAGGCACTGAGTGGTGTGGAGATCTTTCCAGTGACAACCGAGTATTTATCCATTGTTTTACAGCACTCTACTCTGCAAGTGATGTAAGGAGTTCAAGAAGGGTATATATTTTAGAACTCATAGCAAGTTGGCGAATGAGACTGCTCGTTATTGAACAGTGCTCCAATAATCTGTGAACTTAATTGTACTTTATAAAATACTTTCATAAAATAATCAAAATATTTGCTTTATCAATTTCAAACAATATAATATGGCCATAGTGGGTGTTGGAGTATGAACTAACTTGAAAGGACAGGGGAGTCTATCACAGTTCACATCCTTCCTAACACTACTGATAACTTCCCCCGGCTTACAGTACGCACTACGGGTCGTACATTCTCCAATTCTACAATCCAGATCACAGCATGACAATAGGTTTATCTTATCTGGGTGTAGTTATTGTTATCTTATAACTGTAACATGTTTGGGGTTTATTCACCCGAAGTTCTGACAACAAGACGGGTGTTTTACATGTGACAGTAATAGTCGTATTGTTTTAGTCGCTGCTGCAAGCAATCAATCTTGTTTCTCGCGTTTCAAACTGTATTTAGAAATCAGTGGATAATAATGATCAGTACATTATTTCAATAATATGAATTAGCCTACTATTATAGTAAGAGTCATTCCAGTACCTGTTACAGTTGATTTGCCGATAGCGTTTATTATAGTTCCCGGGGGGCAGCTAAATGTCCTCCTACTGTCCATTTCAACAATGTTACACCTGACATCATACTAATAGTATAACTTATCACAAAAATGTATCCACTGTGATACTATTTTACGCAGCAATAACTCAACAGTGCTTCACCAAATAAAAATCCACAAGGCACTAGCACATCAAAAACTCCATCAAAGTGATCAAACCAAGAAGAGAAAAATAACCCCTCACCTGCTAGTTTCACAGTTAGAACTGCAGCACTCACCTGCTAGTTTCACAGTTAGCACTGCAACACTCACCTGCTAGTTTCACAGTTAGAACTGCAACACTCACCTGCTAGTTTCACAGTTAGAACTGCAACACTCACCTGCTAGTTTCACAGTTAGAACTGCAACACTCACCTGCTAGTTTCACAGTTAGAACTGCAACACTCACCTGCTAGTTTCACAGTTAGAACTGCAACACCCACCTGCTAGTTTCACAGTTAGAACTGCAACACTCACCTGCTAGTTTCACAGTTAGCACTGCAACACTCACCTGCTAGTTTCACAGTTAGAACTACAACACTCACCTGCTAGTTTCACAGTTAGAACTGCAACACTCACCTGCTAGTTTCACAGTTAGCACTGCAACACTCACCTGCTAGTTTCACAGTTAGCACTGCAACACTCAATGTTACTGAAGCCCGCCTTTCTCATAACGGAGTTCTTCCTCTCACAGCCCGCATAGTTAGCATTCTCCGACTTCTCCGAGAAGTGGCTCAAATGACAATCAGCAGGGTCTGGGGTCGGTGCTTCACGTCTCCTCCGGAGGTGGTATGTCGGGTCTATGGTAGGAGGAGAGGGCATGCTGTATAGGTCACGTAATGAGGCTGTGGATCGTTTTGTTCTGCGTGTTGGTATTTTCCTTCTTTCCTGGAATTCTGTAGGAAATATTGTTTATAAAAGTTCTGATATAAAAGTGTTTTAAACGTCATGCAATTGATAAAATATCATAGTAATAGTAGGCCGTTAAGTTTGAACCATGAATACTGAATTATGATTAAATTCATGCGTCTAAATAATACTGACGCTTGACGATGTTAGCAAATGAAACGATGTATATCGCTACCGAGATATTATCTAAACTAACAAATGATCACACAAACCGTGGTCAGAGAGCATCTCAAGAACAGCACAGCACCTCATGACGAGCTCTCCACCGTTCATGGTGATATCTTGCACAATCTCACCATCAACACACTCACGCACTCTCTCCACACATTTACCGTACCTACAGTTCGTCAGGCAACACTCCAGATACGTTACTTCCTCTGAAAATACATATTTTAGGTAAAATGTAAAATGTCGTATTTTAGGCGAAATAGAGTTGAGGTTAATATGATTTTGAACGTTCTGATAACTTAACTGTGGTTTGTAAGTTGGTGAAATATTGTAAAGACTGCTTAATTCATGTATAACTGCAAGTTCAAATTAGATTAACCCGCTCCCAAGACTCCAGAGGCAACATTTCAATAAAAACAAGGCAGTTTCAAACAATTCACTAGTATATAATGCCCATTTGGTCCAAAACATATCTGTTGGACTAATCCTAACTCACCTGAATTGACACCAAGTCCATTTACAACAGATCCCCAAGGACATGTCAAAGTGTCCCCGTCATACTGGTCAACAACAGTGCAATCCACGGTCTCGACATCACCCTCACAGCAATTCACCTTCTCTTTTACACTCTTTAACAAATGGTCCGCCCTGATTGAACGATTTTGAAAATTATTGTTGTTAAATTATGGAGGAGTATGATTCATGGGCCGCCAGAAATTTATTATCTGTGGTCACGTACACGCAATTTTATGTCACAACTGCATTGCAGGCAAGGAAACTTTATCTAGATTTACATTCCCATGATCGCCCTAGCAAAATGCTAACTCGTAAGTAGTGTATTTTACTAAACCATTTAAAGTATACATTTTACATTGCCGCTGGTAAAATATTTTTTCCGATATTATAAGTTTACAATTAGAATATTTAGTTATGGTAACATAAAACTTACCCGAAGCATCGACCAAACCTAGCCTGAATATCGTCTCTCCACTCAAGATGATTAAAGGTGCAAATGGGACCAGTTTCTATGGGAGTTCCACTCGTAGGATTCTCTTCATAGTTACAGCAGCTGAAATAAAGAAAATTAAGGCTAAAAATAGGGCGGAAGTTGAATAAGATAATATTCTGGAAACAACTCAGGATAGGGAATGGAATTAAATCTTAGCTGGGAGAATTGGGTCTACTCAGGTAAAAATTTGGACAGAAACATACCGATATGAACTATGATCACCAAGATTTAGACGAGCCAAAAATCAAGAGATTCTTCCCGAAATATCTCAGCCTACTCAGCAGCTGATTTTGGTGTTTGGTAACGTGCTTAGACCAATCACGCACTGCCTAGATGTTCATGTGACAAAATTGGCAGTCAGAATCGCTGACGTTACAGTTACCCAGGTTTAGATCAGGGGTAGTAATCCAGTGCGGGTATTTACTTTGGGGTGACGAATTTAAATGAGGTGTGTTCACTCAGTTCACAACGACCACTAGTACTTATTTTCCTTTCAATAAATTTGTAAACTGCTAAATTCGCCTGATGATAGTGATAACGATTTGGCCTGCAATTTCTGTTTGCTGGGTAACTGCTACTGTAATAATTCCTCCATTTAAACGATCGTAAGCAATACCTAATACCATTTGACACTTCATAAATTATTCTACGTTCATAATCGTGTAAATGTCAAAAATTTTATATGAACGATTTTCAAAATTTCTTGTTTGTCTGACTGTCTTTGCTTTAGTGTTTTTAGTTTTTATGGATTTTTTAGTTTTCATGGAGACGCGTGTTTTGTTGTTGTTGCTATACATACATTATTGATTTTGGAATTGATGATGAAATTTATGCATTAACTTATTATACATTTTGAATTAGCTTAATTTTAAAGATCACGACTCAAGAAATCAGGTGGAACGGAAATGCGCGTTAAACTTATGATCGTACAACTGTTCTTTCTAGTTCGGGGAGTCTCCAGTCAAGGTATGATTTTGTAAATTGAGTGAATATATTTTACTTTACTGTTTCCAAGACAGCGACTAAAGCGTGCACAAATTTAAAGTGACAAAAAAAGTGTTCATCGTATCTTACTACATCTTACTATATTTTAGTATTATATAAAGCGAGACGATATACATATGTATGTATAGATACACCTGGGTAAAACACAACCGTGACATTGCTACACATGGGAATAAATGACCAGCAACACCGCATATGCACTGGAAAGTTTAATTCTGTTGTTCGAAAAGTTTGTGGTAAAAGAAAAGTCTGCTACGTGTCTGTGTTGTCCCAGTTATGTTCACCCATTGGATTATTTGTCAGTTCACTAATTTTATATCTGTATATTTTGTTATTTATTATTGTTATTTCGTTGGATCTATCAACACGTGTGGACAGTGGATTAAAGAATATTAGTCATATTGGTAGACCTGGTAATCTTCCCAGCCTTTATAGTAGTATTAACCTGTATTTCCTAATAATTATGACAGCATTTATTCTGAGATATTTTGATAAAGGATATTATTATTTAAAGTGTCGTAAATCATCTGCTCTGAGAAGATCATTCCAATTCTTTCTGAGATGGATTGGTGTTCTTACTGCTCTGGTTATCTACACTTTCTCCCTGAACCTAATATTGCTTATTATATGTAACACGTCACTTTTAAATCCAGGACCTGGGAAAAAGCCTATATCTGTTTTTTATAACAATGTACAAGGTCTAATTAACACTCGTGACCTTGCGTCAGTTAACCCACCACTTAACATGACGAAAGTACATGAACTACATGGTTTTTTGTATACAAACAAACCTGATATTGTTATTTTAAATGAGACTTGGCTGAAAAAGTCAATATTGGATAGTGAGATTTTACCTTCTGGTTATAAAATCTTTAGGCTGGACAGGTCCCTCAAAACTCATCCATGGGATCCTGAACGACCTAAGAGGTTTAGAAAAAACGGGGGTGGAGTCTTAATAGCTCATAGATTTGATCTAGATGTTACTAGTACTAGGATAGCTGTAGTGAAAGCTCAAGCTGAGTTATTGTCTGTTGTCTTGAAGCTTCCAACTGGTAGAAAGTTGTGTATCTCGACTTTTTATAGAGTGGGGACTCTAAGCGACGACAATTACGTGGAATTTTCTAATTATTTTAGAACTCTTGCCTTAAAAAAGAAGATTGACAAGCATGTTTTAATAGGAGATATGAATTTGAACTGTGTTTCTTGGCCTGCTGGTGAGACATCCTGTGAACTGCAAAATGGCTTCCTGGATTTCCTTACTGGTGACCTAGGACACACTCAACTAATTAATGAACCTACACATAAAGCAGGGAATGTGCTTGATTTACTGTTCACAAATGTCCCTAATATTATTACCAATTTAAAAATACTGGATCATAATGAGGCGTGCTTATCTGACCACTTTGGTATCAACCTTGGGATAAACTTCAATGTCAGCCGCAGAAAGTCTCCTAAACGCAAAGTATATAACTATACCAAAGCCAATCGGGACGGCTTGAACTTTGCTCTGAGGCGGGTCAATTGGGATAATGTGGCTGGGTCTCATGATCCACACATTTCCTGGCCTCTTTTCAAAGATGTTCTGATTAAACTCTGCAATGAATATATCCCAAAGAAAAATGTTAAGTGTGAGTTTCAGCCGCCTTGGTATGACTCTGATTGTGATAGGGTTCTGAGAGATAAAGAGAAATGGAGAGAAAAGGCTAATGAATCTGGCAATGAGTCTGATCTTGAAAAGTTCCGTCAGTACCGCAAAGATTTTAAACGCATAATGAACGAAAAGATGAGACTCAGTGTCGAAGATGATTCTGATTCTGCCCTTATTTCCAAAAAGTTTTGGACACACGTGAAATCAAAGTCTAAGTCGACTAGGATACCTGAAACGGTCCGATACGGTGATCGTTTTAGGAACACACCAGTTGAACAGGCTAGCTTATTCAATGAATACTTCTATCAACAATTCTCCTCAAGTAGCTCATATGACATTGACATCGACATGAGCTCCAGTAACAATTTTATGGATTTGAGATTTCACGTGTTGGATGTTTTGTTAATTTTGAAAGGGGTTAAACCGGGTAAAGCCGCAGGTCCAGATGGTATCCATGGCACTGTGTTAAAAAATTGTGCGAGCACTCTTGCAAAGCCTCTAACCATTATTTTCAACAGCTCTTTTGTGACTGGATGTGTGCCGGAGGAATGGAAGCTTGCTTCTGTTGTTCCGGTACACAAGAAGGGTGAAAAAGGATCTGTTGAAAATTACAGACCCATCTCACTGACATGCTTAGTTATGAAAGTTTTTGAACGTTGTATTTCGAAAGAGTTGCTCGCAGCTTGTGAAGGGTTAATCGACTGTAGACAACACGGTTTTGTGAATGGGAAGTCTTGCACTACCCAGATGGTCCCATTCACAGACAACCTTGCACTGGCCCTGAACAATAAGTCAAGATCCGACATTGTTTATTTTGATTTTGCTAAGGCATTTGACAGTGTATCACATGACTTAATCCTTCGCAAGCTAAAAAATTTATATGGTATTGATGGTCTGATGCTTAGATTTTTAAAGTCGTATTTACAAGACAGACGACAGCAGGTTGTTGTAGGCGGAGCTGTCTCAAGCATGCTTCCCGTGCAATCAGGAGTGCCCCAGGGATCTATTCTGGGACCACTTCTGTTTGTTCTATTCATCAACGACATGTTCTCGTGTGTCTCGGAGGATACAAATGTAGCATTGTATGCAGATGACACCAAAATTTGGAGGGTCATCGAATGCTTTGAAGACCACTATATTCTCCAAGGAGATATAGACAGGTTGTTTGCCTGGTCAATCGATAACAAAATGACTTTTCACCCTTCTAAGTGTAAGGTGTTATCTGTAACTCTGCAAAGAAATGTATTAGACAATCTTCCTTTTAATATTTATTGGTATAATCTTAATGAAGTCATAATTGATTATGTGGCATCCCATACAGATCTTGGTGTAATAATGAACAACAGGTTTCTGTGGGGTGCACATTGTGATCAATTGATATCTAAAGCAAGCTCGAAGCTTGGGCTCTTAAAGAGAACCTGTCATTTTACCATGGATAAACGCCAAAAGAGGGCTTTCTACCTTACCATTGTAAGATCAATCTTTGAACATTGCTCAGTTATATGGTGTCCTCAGCGATCGACACACATGTCGAAGTTTGAGGCAATCCAGAAAAGAGCGATCAAATGGATCAATGGACAACAGTTTGATCATTATAGTGATATTGTATTCTATGAGAAGCAGAAGGAGCTTAAAATTCTACCCATTAGATCTAAGTTCATCCATAATTCAATTACGCTCTTCTATAAAATAGTAAATGATTTGGTAAGTATATCTCTACCTGAATATATTACTGTTGTTGAAGCTGAAACAATGAGGTACACAAGGAGCACGGCATCAGTCATTGAAGGACTTGACACCAGCACATATACCTGCTCTATTGTACCAAACTGCGATAGTTTCAGAAACAGCTTCTTTTATAGAACAATGCTTCTGTGGAATGCACTGCCAGCCTATGTTAGACAGACTGAGAAAATTTCTATTTTCAAAACAAAGCTAACTGAATTTCTCTGGTCTTCTGACGTATGCTGGCCTGATTAGACAGCCCATCATGGAATATTATTATATATATATTTTACTTTATGAATGTCATACTCTCTATAATTTGCCCCTCGCACCTGCAGTAGAACGCGCCGTTTTTACTCTTATGAAACAACCCGAAACAATGGCGCGTCACGCAGTACGTGAGTGGCTAGATTATAGATTGTTCTATTATAATATTATTTAATTATGTTATTTTGTTGTTATGTCGTGTAAGTTTGTGGAGTAGTAGCAAGAAGGTATCGTATACATTTAAATTTGTTCTCTTGATTATTTATTAATGATTTTATGTAGGGTCGGCACCAATGTAATTATGGTCTTGCCACCGTGTTTTGGTTCAGCCGAAATAAATTTTACCTTGATGTTTTTACATATTGTTTCTCACTCCAGCTGAGTCTGGTAGTGTTGAGTATCATGAATATTTTTCTAGCTCTCTTTTTCCATGTTTTTGCTTCACAGGAGATATTGTGGTCTTTTTATTGAATATAACTGTAATACATTGATGTAAAGTTTATTTGAATTTTGAAATAAAAAAAAAAAATAGGTATATATATAAAGTTTATGAATATCCGTACCATTTTACTGACACCAAGGCATCAACTTTAAGACGACGCTCCGCAAAAACCGTAAAAGATGTAAAACTGAAACTTTTTTGACTGGGTCAAATGCCTTAAGGGCCTTCAAATCAGCATGAAAAAAATGAAAAATTGGCCAAGGAATAAGAATTTTTGACGCGAATTAAATAGGTAATAATTATTTTAAACTGTTGAGTCTTGACACCACTTTAAGGTTAGACGGGTTCCTGTTAGTATATAGACACGTTCATTAAAGTAAGAGGATATTGTTAAACATTTTTAAATAGCGTTTTCGACGAGAGTGGCTTAATTTTAGCATTTATTTTCAGAAGTTCTGAACATTAGCCACGTGACCCATACTTCCATATACATTGCTCAGAAAGAAAATCTATCATTGTTAGGCACTATAATGGTTAAAATGTCACATTTTCGTGACTTTTTTAGCTGCCCGATTAGTATATTATATAGCATTACTTAGTCTAAAATATATACATATAATTATCAATCTAACAATTATGATACAACATTGGTTAAAGGGCACGGATCGAGTGGTTAAGTCAGTAAGTCAAGTTTTCTACCGATCATAGCCCTAAAATATGTTGTTTTGAACAGTTAGCTAATACATGCACTTGGTTATTGGGAAATGAGGTAAATTCTGTCACATTATACATATTATACAATTTGAAATTTTCGGTGAATTGCCGAAACCAAATTTATATCTGATTTTGTAATGCTTTTCGACACGAAGGCCAAGAGAAACACACAACGCGAACGTAAGGCTTGAAATCTTAAAAGTTAAAACTTGACATGGTAAAACGTGCAATAGACAATATGATTTGAGGGTTCCAAACCTGTTATGCCGGAAGGGGGCTTGGTTAGGAAAGTTGATGAAAATTTGTGGGTTAATTTTGATGTATATATTTTGAAATGTAATAATTTATCTATAATTTAAAACAAAAATCGAACTGTTCGACCTATTTGTTAGATTTTAAGGGCCATTCAAAATTTGGACACGTGTCTTAAAACACCCTGTACATCATTAGAGCCTGTCAAAACATTTAACTTCAAAATAAGCACTCTATCAAGTAAAATTCATAAATAATCATCATATCTGATTTTGGTTTGAAAGGCGGGAAAACTCTATATAAATATTTAAAGGACGAAACAGTTCGTTCAAGTTAAGGGCAGTTAATGCGAACATTGTCACAAATATGATGCCTACCTGCCTGCCTAGGTCGATCCAGATGAAATCTGGAACGAGTTTCGTGTCAACGCTTCTCTCCATTTATCCCTATCACACATGAGTAAACGCAGCTGGTCAGGTTCCATTCCAGTGTCTTCAAGTAGGACGTCCGGGAAGGTCTTATGTGGTCGTCCTCGATAACGCTGGCCATAGGATGGTTGCCAGAAAAGGAGTTGTTGAGCAGGTTGGTCCTGTAGACGGTAGACATGTCCTGCAAAACGAAGTCTTCGTGTCTTTATAGTATCTGTCACCGATGGAATCTTTCCGTAAAGAACGGAGTTAGGTGTATGTGATTTCCATGAGATACCAAAGACCCTTCGTAGCATTCTAGTATAAACACCGTCTAGTGCTCTGATATCAGCCTTTTTAAGAGTCCAGGTTTCTGCACCATACAGCAGAACAGGTTCTACTGCAGTTCGAAAAATCTTAGTCTTGATCTTCCTGGACATATTAGA